CCGGCCGCAGCAAGTCGGCAGTCCGGCCAGAAAATGAACCGACCGGTTTAGACCGGTTTGGGAGTTGTTCAGTATTTACTGACCCGGTTCGAGTCCAGTACAGTATTTCAGTTAATTTTTCAGTCCAGTTAGTACAGTACACCGGTATCAGTTCAGTCCGGTTTTTCTTGTCAGTCAAGTTAAAGTCCCGAGAATATTCCAGTTAAATATTTAGATCGAGCCGAGCATCGTAGCAGTTATTTTCAGTCAATCTGAGCGTAGTACTTAGTATTTGTTTATTTATATAATTTTTACAGAGTGATCAGCAGCAGCACTTACATTATCAGTACAGGTGGGGACTCAGACTGAGTATTACATTACGTATAATTACAGCTATCATGCGAGGTATGTATATATCAGTTCCGCTTAGAGTGGTGGCCAGTTGCGTAATTCCACTCCGTGCTCTAGTGGCTAGATCTGACCACTAGGGTGTGCACATGGTTCCGGCTAGTATTATTACAGTCGGTAGACACAGTTTACGTCCAGTTTATACTGTTGACGAGCAGTTACAGATAGAGGCAGAGGCAGATATGCATATGTTTGTTCATGAATGATGCAATTATTATTAATGTTTACTTTCGTATGAGTTTCTGCGGAGTACAGTGTTTTTAATACTCACGCTCCCACTATTATGATTCTTTTTCAGGAGACAGGGTCGGTCCGGAGGAGTGAGTGGAGCTGGTGGTCGCCGGTCCAGTACATGTAAATATGTTTATATTTTTGCAGACTGTTGATATGTATATATTTGCCACATTTTACTTCCGCTGACGTTTTCAGGTTTTCAAACTAGCGTGTAAATTTTCAGACGACGATTCGAGTTCTCGGGTCTAGTTTTATACAGTATCACGCGCTTGTTTTATAATAATAATCTGTTTTTCATAAATGTGTTTATAGTTAACGGATTTTCAGAAAAGAAATGTTTTATGTAGCATCCCAATATATGTTTTCGCAAAATAAAACGTAAACTTTAGAAAAGGATTTGCGAAAATCGCACTCTGATTTTAGTAAGCTAGCGGGGTGTTACAAATTGGTATCAGAGCACCTTTCGTGTATCTGAATACTTTTAAAGTTAGAAATTTTCAGAAAAGACCCGACCACGCTAAGCTCACGCCTCGCCGACTATCAGGTAAGTGCTGAAGTTCAGTTTATTTGTATATTTAAATGAATACTTAAGTCTATGCTCAGTAGAGCGTACCAGATTATTAACCATAGAAGCCAGTAAGATGCTCGAATATTGTCAGAACTTAGTCGATTATCCTAGTCATTTGATTGTTCGACTTTAGTATTCTCTGGTTATTTTAGCGACTCGTCAAGAGATTTGTGTATTTAAGTAATCAGTTAGTTAATCTCTTATGATATTTAATCATGTTA